GTGCAGAACAGAGAGGGGGATGAGCCAGGCTGGGGGCAGGCAGGCCTCACTACGCACGAGAAGGAACTGGCACAGCTCATATTCGTGGCCCTGCTGGATCACGCTGCTCCTGCACACCCATAAGAGAGCATCCATTTCCTGGAATTCAGGAATATTCTCTGGCTTACTATGTGTAAAATTTAAAAAATGTATTGCAATGGTTTGGATGTTTGCTGTTTTTCTTGAATAATTTGTTTTAAAGGGAATATTCTCTGGCCCTTCCTCTGGAAGCAGTGAGTACAACCAGGATCCGACCTGAAGTCTATCTAATCCAGCTTGCTGCTGCCCACAGTGGCCAACCAAATGCCTCAGAGAAGATCATAAACAGAGTGTGAAGGCCAAAGCCACCCACTCCTTCAGCAAATGGGTACAATGCGCCTGGACATGGAGGCTCTAATTTAGCCATCATGACTAACGGCGGACAACAGTCGCCTCCTCTAGGAATCTCTCTAACCAGTGATGGTGAGTTCCGCAGGTTACTGATGCCGAGAGAAGAAGCCCGTTCCTAATCCACGGCCAGTCGACTGCACGGGGTGCCTCATCATCTGTCAGTCCTAAAGGGGCGGATTCAAACACTGCCGCAAAAGATCTCCGCTGTGCATTGCACCTGATGTGCCTGAATGCATCTCCTGCCGGACAAGAAGGCGCTCCGCAAAGCCTGCGGGGGAGACGGAGGGCAAGCCCGCCACCAACCCGCCCGCCCATCCTGGCTGCAAGACGGAGCTGCCAAACAAGAGGACGATACACGCGCGCGCGCGCGCCCCCGCATCCCCTCCCCCCTCCTCTCCCCTCAGTGTTCCGCGCCCGACCGAAGAGGGAGGGCTGAAGAAGGGGTCGCTTGGCTTCACCTGCCAGGATGGCCTTCCCCGGGTGGGTCAGCTTTACCCGGCCTGCGGGGGCAGCGGCGGCAACTGAGGCTCGGGTCGCCCCCGGCTGAGGCACGGCCATTCCTGCCCACCTGCAGTTCTGAGGCAGCGGCTCGTCCGTCCCCCTCCTTGCTTTCAATATTCATGAGCTCTTATGAATATTAAGCAGTGGCGCGGCGGGACAGAGCCCGGCTGGAGGCGTCTCACGAGAGTCCTGATTGGCTGTAGTGGGCTGGTGTGGCTCCACGATTGGCTGTTGCCGGAGGTGAGGCGAGGTGGGACCAAGAGGCTTTTTTTGTTTTTTTACACGATCTGGGGCATGCGCAAAAGGACCCTACGGTGGAGACAAAGGAGTCCCCAGTAGACCCAAGGAACCTGGATCCCTGCGCTTGTTTGCGACGCCCCCCACGCCCCCTCCCGCTTCTCAACGCCGTGGTTGATTGCTGGCTGTGTTATTGTGTCATGGGCAGACTGCTATTGCATGTAGGTAAAAGGAAAGTCCCTGCCCGAATATTTTCCAGTGCACACTGCAAATGATGGGAGAAGAGTCCCTGAGCATGTGCAGAGTGCGTCTCTTCCAAGCCAGCTAGGGAGTGCAGAAGAGCACCAGTGGCATATTTGACTTGGAAGCCTCCAGGATTGCGACGCAATCCTCCATTTCCTAATAATAATAACAAATCCTCCAGAACAAAGTTTGAGTCCAGTGGCACCTTTAAGACCAATAAAGTTTTATTCAAAGTGTAAGGTTTCTACACGAAAGCTTATGTTGTTGTTGTTCAGTCGCACAGTCGAGTCCGACTCTTCGCGACCCCATGGACTAGATCCCGCCAGGCCCTCCTGTCTTCCGCTGTCCTCTGAAGTTTGCTCAGTTTCATGTTCGTTGCATCGATGACACTGTCCAACCATCTCATCCTTTGCCGTCCCCGTCTTCTTTGACCTTCAATCTTTCCCAGCATCAGGGTCTTCTCCAGTGAGTGCTCCCTTCTCATTTGGTGGCCAAAGTATTTGAGCTTCAGTTTCATTATCTGGCCTTCCAGGGAACAGTCAGGGTTGATTTCTTTTAGGATTGACTGATTTGATCTTCTTGCAGTCCAAGGGACTCTCAAGAGTCTTCTCCAGCACCATAGTTCAAAAGAATCTATTCTTTGGCGCTCGGCCTTCCTTATAGTCCAACTCTCGCAGCCATACATGACTACTGGGAATACCATTGCTTGGACCATGCGTATTTTTGTTGGCAGGGTGATGTCTCTACTTTTTATCATGCTGTTTAGATTCGCCATCGCTTTCCTCCCAAGTAGCAGGCGTCTTTTAATTTCATGGCTGCAGTCACAGTCTGCAGTGATTTAGGATCCCAGGAACGTGAAGTCTGTCACCACTTCCACGACTTCCCCTTCTATTTGCCAAGGAGTGATGGGGCCGGATGCCATGATCTTAGTTTTTTTGATGTTGAGCTTCAAGCCCACTTTTGCGCTCTCCTCTTTTACCCTGAGCAAGAGGCTCTTTAGGTCCTCTTCACTTTCTGCCATTAGAGTGGTATCGTCTGCATATCTGAGGTTGTTGATCTTTTCCCCAGCAATCTTAATTCCCGCTTGTGATTCATCCAGGCCAGCATTTCGCATGATGTACTCTGCATATATATTAAATAAGCAAGGTGACAATATACATCCTTGTCGTACTCCTTTTCCTATGCTAAACCAATCAGTTGTTCCATATCCGGTTCTAACTGTCGCTTCTTGGCCCTTATACAGGTTTCTCAAGAGACATGTGAGGTGGTCTGGTACTCCCATCTCTTTAAGGACCTGCCATAGTTTGTTGTGATCCACACAGTCAAAGGCTTTAGCATAGTCAATGAAGCAGAAGTAGATATTTTTCTGGTACTCTCTTGCTTTCTCCATAATCCAGCGAATGTTGGCAATATGATCTCTCGTTCCTCTACCTCTTCGAAACCCAGCTTGTACTTCTGGTAGTTCTCTATCCACGTACTGTTGAAGCCTAGCTTGTAGGATCTTGAGCATGACCTTGCTAGCGTGTGATATGAGTGCAATTGTGCGATAGTTTGAACATTCTTTGGCATTGCCCTTCTTTGGGATTGGAATGTATACTGACCTTTTCCAATCCTGTGGCCACTGTTGCGTTTTCCAAATTTGCTGGCAAATTGAGTGCAGCACTTTAACAGCATCATCTTTTAAGACTTTGAATAGCTCAGCTGGAATACCATCACCTCTACTAGCTTTGTTGTTAGTAATGTTTTCTAAGGCCCATTTAACTTCACATTCCAGGATGTCTGGCTCGAGGTCAGTGATTATACCGTCGTGGTTGTCAAGGACATCGAGGTCTTTCTTGTATAGTTCTTCTGTGTATTCTTGCCATCTTTTCCTAATATCTTCTGCTTCTGTTAGGTCCCTAAAGCTTATACTGTGAATAAAACTTTGCTGGTCTTAAAGGTGCCACTAGACTCAACCTTTGTTCTGCTGCTTCAGGCCAACACGCTACCCACCTGAATAAGTCCTCCAGTTCCTTTTTTTATTTGGTAATTTTTTATTTATCACTTATAAAACATATTTTCAATACATATTCAATACAAGTATTTTCCATAGTGTGAGTCCATTATATACATTTTTCTTCAATCCATTTATATACTCTAAACCATCTTTTTTGAAATATTATCATCTTTTCCTTGGAGTAATATATTAAGTTTATCAATTTCAGCCACTTCTAGCAGTTTCTTGACTATTTCTGCTCTTATTGGAACTTTTTCTGGTTTCCAAGGTTTGGCTATTAAGTCCTCCAGTTCCTAATAATAATAACAATCGCATTTATATAGTGCTCTTAATGTTCAAGATGGCTTCACGTAAATGATACTACGGTCATTCTCAATAAGAACCCTGTAATGCAGGTCAGCAGTGTTGTCTAAGTCCCCTCCCCGCCACCTGAGTTTGAAGTAGGGATCAGAACCGGGGACCTTCCAGCTTCTCTTCCTAACTTGTGAAGCCGCTGCTGGTCCAGAGGTGCCGAAGCTCTTTTCGTCGGGGCCACCAGCCACCACCACTCCATATAGGGGGTGGTGCCCCAGCTCCCAGCCGAATCCTTTCTATGCTCACCGATCTCACAGCGGCTCCTGGACAGAGCCCTGGGGGCGGAGCCTTCTTTCCAAGACATGCGCGGGTTCTCATTCATTCGTTCCTCCTCCCTCCCACCCCACTTTCGAAGGCAGGAGCCAATCAGGGCCGCGTTCTGACTACCGTCCTGTTGCTACAGCGAAGCGTCTCCATGGCGACCGGTTTGTTGCGGTGTCCGGGCCAAGGACTGGAAGCCACGCGCTCGCCTGCTGCTTGTCCAGTTTGAGAGGGGGCCGTGGGAAAAGGGCCGGCTGCGAAGGGGTGCGTCGCCGGTGGGAGCGTTTGGCGTGTTTTTGCTTCGTTTTGCAATGGAGGCAACGGAAGGGGCGATGTTGCATTTTGCCGTGGGTCTTTTTCGGGCTGGGAAAGGGTGCCTCGGAGCCTGTGCAGAGTTTCTACTGAGGAAAGACCTTCGCCCTTTCAAGGCGCGTCAAATCAAGGGTAGACCGGGGCCTCACAGGAAACCACCAAGCCTTTTCAGGCCTCTTTTCTTGCTCGAGAATTTGTTTGTTGTTGCTCCAAATACTTTTGGGAGTGTGTGTTCTGTGATACCTCTTAACATGCTTTGAGCTGCTCCTGCATACTCTCCATCAAGTGGGTTAAAAGGATGCGGGTTTTGAAATACTGACTGGCAAACTGGTGGTCCTCATCCATCCTTGTGATTGTGAGTGGAAAAACGAACGCCTTGCTTGCCTGGGTGTGGTTATGTTAGAACCCTCCAGAGAGGACAGGGTGATGTTGTTATGACCATCACTGGATCTCTCTTCTTCCTAGAATGGAAGCAAAATCTCGGTTTGGTGCTTTAGATTAGTAAGTAAATTACCAGGAAGCAGTTTCAGGCAGGTAGCAGTGTTGGTCTGCAATAGAAGAGCAAGGTTTGAATCCAGTAGCATCTTAGTAATCAAGATTTCCAGGGGATGAGCTTTTGAGAATCAAATCTCCCTTGGTTATATAGGAGCTCAAGAAGTAGTGCCTGAGATGTGCTGCTACAACCAGAGAGCAGGCAGCAATGATAAGGGAAAGTTAGCATTTCCCCCCTGCAAAAATTGATTTTATTTCCTGTTATTTCCGCACTACTTCTTGTTGCGCAAAGTAGTTTACAGTAAAACCAGCAAATGCAACCATAAAGGTGAGCTCTCTAAGCCTTTTCAACTAAAAAGGCAAATTGCGGTTATTTGAAAAAAATACATTAACTATTTCTTGTCTCCCCGTCCCCTTACCTCCTATGAATCCCAGTTGTTGAATTCACCGGCCAGCTCTTCCTCCCAGGAGAGATCCGTAATGTCCTGAGATCCAAGCAGGGAGACATCTCTGATGGTAGAGTAGCAGGTGCTTGAATAATGGGCTCTCAAGCCCGCTAAGCAAAATAATAACAATAATTAATAAGCCTCCTCCATTCTTAATAAGCAGAGTCCATTCCTGACTTCTCAGCAGGAGATGCAATCAGCCGGCTGCTTCCGCTCCTTGGGCTTTCTGCTAGAACAGCTAGTATCTTCTGTTCTCTCTGATTCTGTCTCCCATTCAGGTTGGCTTCACCACATCTCCAGGTCCTTCCGCTCCTGGCTCGTCTCCCAGGTTCTTCCAGAAAAAGCGATGGCCAAGCTGCTGCAAGTGCCCCCCAAGTTCCTCCCCCCAGAATGGCACATTGCCAACAAGCACCAGTACTCCGGTGCTGAGGCCCAGCGATCTCGCTCGGAGCGCCTTGTGGACGAGAGCCAGCGGCTGGTGGATGAAATTGAAAGGACAACAGAGAAGACCCAAAGCGATGTGAACAAGAGGATAGGTGAGGACTAGCTGAACCACTAGGGAGCCCAAGCCTTGGGTCAGGAAGAGCTGGGCACAGGTCTCCCATGAGTCTCCAGGCCAAGTGCCTGTTGCCCAGTCTTGTCAAAGAAATTAGGGAACCCTTAGCACACAAGTGTAGCCACAAATAACACCCACCAAGGGGAGACCATCCACAATTCACAACTATATGTGTTCAAAACTGTATATTACATTCATGGGTTAGTGGTCATAACCCAATAGAATGTATAGGCATATATCCAACAGATTGCTCATAACAATTAAGCATATTTTACAAAAAGAACGTGTTCAAAACCAACAGCAGGATGACAAGCAAATTTGTGAAACATTCCATATTTTTTAGCTGTTATTCTTTCCACAGTGGGTGTCTTCTGCCACGGTTAGTTTCTGTTTGGAGGTCTATGGACACTATTTATGTATGGAATTACAGAGGAGCCTACTGTTGGATTTGAGCATGTTCTTTTTGTAAAATATGCTTAATTGTTATGAGCAGTCTCTTGATATGTGCCTATACATTCTATTGGGTTATGACCACTAACCCATCTTTGTACTTCAATGAATGCAATATACAGTTTTGAGCACATATAGTTGTGTGAATTGTGGATTGTCTTCTCTCGGTGGGTGTTATTTGTTGCCCAGTCTTAGCAGTATAGTGGAGGCAAGCGGGTTGACCTTTGAAGTTTGCTTTTGAGAAAAGCAGTTATTTGAAATGAACAAGGCTTTACAGTACATTGAAGTGGCTGGTGCTATTTCAGCAAGTATCTGCTAACACAGCATGTGAGGAGGAAATGGAGCCTCAGTCCCCCAGTTGCAGTATACATGGTGCTAGAACCAAAAGTGTTTTTTGTGCCCTGCCTTTGTGCTTCCCAGTGTCATCTAGCTGGCTCCAGCTGGCAACAGTACCAGCCTTTGGTCTTCTCCAGCAAGGCTTTTCTTATGCTCCCAATAACTGAGGGGATGAACTGAAGGTCTAGAATGTAGGGTTTTACCCCTGTCACACTGGAGCTGCGGTTGTATCTGAGATTAGCCACAATCTTGCTCCCCCGCTTTAGTCTCTAGTCATGATGGACAGGTGCCTACCTTTGCCAGGACCATACTGCTTATTCTGAGACCTCCCAGGTCTTGCTGCAGGGCTTTTCCTTTTGGGGAGGGGATGATCTGATGTTCTTCTCCTCCCCCCCTGCAGAGCAGAGACTTGAGGAGATCAAATTCTGGAAGCAGCAGCTAGGTGACAAACTTGACCAGATTGTGAAGGAGACAGAGGTGCTTCTGACGTTTGGGAGTCGGCTGGAGAAGGCCTTGGAGAGCTGCAGAGAGCCGCTCTTCATCGTACAGGAATGTCTCCTAAACCGGTGAGAAGGCAAAGGGGGCTGGCGTTAGTCTCTCCCTCCATTAGATTCCATCTTGGTATGGACTGGGAAGAACACGGTGGATTTGGCCCCACCGTTTGCGGCCATTCCTATGTGTGTAGCCCACCCTCCTGACCTGGATGGCCCAGGCTAGCCTGATCTCCTCAGATCTTAGAAGTGAAGCAGGGTCGCCCTTGGTTAGCACTCGGATGGGAGACTCCCAAGGAAGTCCAGGGTTGCTGCGCAGAGGCAGGCAATGGCAAACCACCTCTGAAGGTCTCTCCCTTTGAAAACCCAATGGGGTTACCTTGAATCAGCTGTGACTTGATGATATTACCCCCCACCCCCACCCTACCCTGTGGGTTCAGGGAAAAGGCAGAATCATGTAAGCCAAAACAACAGACCTACCAAGTGGCTTGCAAACTGTACCATGAAAAAGTTCAAGGAAGGAAAGGGAGGGGGAACTTAGGGCAAGGGGTCCCTAAAAGATGACATCCACCTCTTATCAGCCTTGCTCGTGATACCAGATCACTGGTCCCCTGTTCTGCATGCCTGCTGTGACAAGTTGGGCATGCAGAACAAGGAAAGTTGTACAGTCATATTAGTCTGTGCAGAGTCCAAAAACAAGCATGAAATCGGTGTGACGTATACAGTGTAGGGCCGTTTCATTTGTGGCACTCAGGCTGTGGAACTTACCCCTGGCCTTCTGGAACTTATTAAAGCCACCTTAATCCAGAGAATATTTGGTGTTTTCATTCCCTGGCCTGTCATAATCTGCTTTGATTGCCCCCCCCCATCAACTCACAGCTGATTTATGGAGACCCCGTAGAGTTTACAAGGCAAGAGACATTCAGAGGTGGCTTGTGATTACCTGCCTTTGCAAAGAGACACTGGTATTGCTTGGTGGTCTCCCATCCAAATACTAGCCAGGGCTGACCCTGCTTAGCTTCTGAGATCTGACAAGATCAGGCTTGCCTGGGTCATCCAGGTAAGGGCCTTTGATCTTCACTATGGTCTTAATTACCATGGTCTTAATTTATGTTATTGGTATTGCTGCTTTTAAATAATCCGCTGCTTTAAAAAGTTTTTGTAAATTATTGCTGGTGGCATATTGAAGGACATGGAATATCAACATGCATTATATAGTTTAGTATGTCACGATGATAAATTCAGAATGCTCATTCACTAGACAGGATACACGTTTGCCTGTTGGGGTATGTAAGTCAGTGCCCTGAAGATCAAAGGTGAAAGGCCGTACAGGCATAACCTTGCTTGTCCACTAACTGTATCAATATGAACCAATATGAATTTTGCATTCAGAAGATCCCAGGATCAATCCCTGGCATCTCCAGTTAAAAGGACCAGGTAGGACATAACGTGAAAGACTTCTGCCCAAGACCTTGGAGAGCTGCTGCCAGTCTGAGTGGACAATAGTGACCTTGATGGACCAAGGGTCTGATTCAGTAGAAGGCAGCGTCATGTGTTCGGTTGCGTTCAATATCAAGATGAGGCCTCCAACGCTGGTCAGTAGCCCCATCAGTGGGGAAAGTGTTGCTTACGCCCACTCTGTTGAGCGATGTTGGCTGGTGGTTTTGACAGAGACTGGTGGGAAGAGGGCATGACCCTAGAAGAGCTTGGAGGTTGGTGGGGGGTGGGGTGAGGTTCAGTGCTTGGAGGTGGGTCTGAATTTTGGGAAAGGCATTAAAGGTGGTGGCGAGGCATACTTTGGGGTAGATGGAAGAGGGAGGAGCGGCAGAGGAGTCCACTGGCAGGGAAGGGTGAAGCCACCCACTTCCATGGACGGCGGAGGAAGTGTGTCAGTGCATCTTGCTTTGAACCACACTTCAATGTCTTCCAGGAATTTTGACTCTTGAAAGCTTAGACACCCCCCCCTCCAAATTTTGTTGGTCTTTAAGGTGCTATGGGACTCTAATCTTTACTGTTCTCCTGCAG